ATATATCTCTAGGCCCTATCACCAAATTGTTTCAAGTCATTTCCGTGTGTCATGTCTTTTATTTATGTAACATACATTGAGCATGGAGCAGGAGTTGTGTAACCATGTTCTGTGTTAGAGTTTTGGTATGCGTTGTTTGTGGCAGTACGAGTTAAGAGGAGTGGTCTGTCGAGAGCCGGTCAATGACTGCGACGTCCCAGAGATGTGCACTGGAGACTCTAGCCAGGTATAGCCAGTGCCGCCAGTGCCTGCGTGGTGCCAGTGTAGTACAGTTCTCTGGCATTTATGAGCAGACATTTAACATGACTGTATCCTTTGTGAAACTGTCCCCAATGCAGTGTCCTCACAATGTTCACAAGCTGGATGGGTACTTTTGTGACAACAGCCAGGTAATGGCTCAGTTGCCCGTGTGCCTGAATTACAGGGCTGTGTGTGCATGAATGCATGCTTGTTTGGGTAGGCCTGTTTGCAAAGCAGCAAACCCCAGCTGTGCAGTGCTGATGCTCTCTGTCTCCATCAGGGCCGCTGTTATGGAGGCCACTGCAAGACTCTGGATGCACAGTGTAGAAGCCTGTGGGGCCACAGTAAGTGCAGACATACTCCTCTCCTCATCTGTCCTACATTCACTCTTGTGGGTTTTACAGTTTTTCTCAGTGGCTTTAGTACATTCTTACATTTTCAATTGTTTATGACATGTTGCTCAAAATATATTGTACTGGTACTCTGCTGAATAGTCTTACAGACATGGACAAACTTGTTGGTACCCTTCCATAAAAAACAAAAAGAAAACACAACTGTCTGAAATAACTTGAAACTGACAAAAGTTTAATGGCATCCCCTATTGTTTATTCCATATTTAATTGCTTTGGATTATTGATTCAATTGAATATTTTATAGAATTAAACAAATGAAAATGGCATGCACATAAAAGATGGTACCCTTAATATAATAATTTGTGGCATCACCTTTTGCCAACAAGCGATCTCTGTACTTCACAATGAGACGTCTACATTTGCCAACAGGTAGTTTGGCCCACTCTTCCTGAGCAAACTGCTCAACCTGTCTCAGGTTTGAAGGGTGGCATCTCCACACTGCGATTTTCAGATCTTTCCAATAGGATTAAAATCTGGGCTCATGGAGGGCCATTTAAGAATAGTCCAATGTTTTTTTTCTCAGCCATTCTTGAGTGCTTTTAGCTGTATGTTTTGGGTCATTATCCTGTTGACTGGGGCTGAGCTTTCTGACACTGGGCAGTATGTTTCTCTCCTGGATGCCTTAGTAGTCTTGAGACTTCATTGTGCGCTGCACAGATTCAAAGTTCCTTGTGCCAGATGCCGCAAAGCAGCAATACTCAAAGCTCAAAACATAACCAAGCCTCCTCCATGTTTCACAGTAGGTATGGTGTTCTTTTCTTTTAAAGCTTCATTTTTCCTTCTCCAAGCATAGGTCTAATGTGACTGGACAAAAAGCTCCAGTTTTGTCTCATCGGTCCAAAGGACATCCATCCATCCATTTTCTGAAACCGCTTAATCCCAACTGGGGTCGCAGGGGGGACCGGAGCCTATCCCGGGAACAATGGGCACAGGCGGGAACCAACCCTGGGCAGATGCCAATTCACTACAGGGCGAACACACTCACACAACTACAGGGCCAATTTAGACTCACCAATCAACCTATCCTGCATGCTTTTGGACCGTGGGAGGAAACCAGAGCCCCCCGCGAAAACTCGAAAGGACATTCTCCCAGAAACTTTGGGGCTTGTCAAGATGCATTTTGGCGAATTCCACTCTGGCTTTTTATGTTTTTCTGTCAATAGTGGAGCCCTCCTGGGTCTTCTTCCATGGAGGCCATTATAGTTCAAAATTTGACGGATGGTGCAATCAGAAAGTGACGTACCTTGACCTTGGAGCTCAGCTTGAATAGTTTTGGATGGTTTCCTTGGCTCTTTTTCTACCATCCACACTATTCTTCTGATCAACCTGGGGTTGCATTTCCTCTTGCGTCCACATCCTGGGAGGTTGGCTACAACCTACAGTCCCATGAACCTTAAACTTTTTAATAATAATGGCAACTGTGGTCACAGGAACATGAAGCTGCTTGGATATGCTCTTATAGCCTTTACCTTTAACATGGTTATCTATAATCTCCTTTCTGAGCTCCTCAGACAGCTCTCTCCTTTGCTTTCTCTGGTCCATGTTCAGTGTGCTGCACACAATGATACCAAACAACACAGTAGCATGTTCTTTCCCTTTAAATAGGCTGAATGGCTGATGAAAGGCTTGAAAGCACCTGTGATACTAATTAAGGTTAAACACTTAGTTTGAAACATGACTATAATGCAAGGGTAAATAATCTCTTTAGGGGTACCAACAAATCTGTCCATAATATTTTCGAATATCTTTGTAATATAAACAACAAATCATTTCTTTTCACAATTTTATTGGTTTACTTTATCACATACTAAAGGCGTGCAGGTATACATTAGACAATTGCTTTTAATTGAATTACTTTTCAGAAGAAATAAAGCATTGTTTCAATGAGCTGTAAGGGTACCAACAAATCTGTCCATGTCTATACTCCCAAAAATATCTAGGCATTAGTTTATTGTATAAGTTACAAAATGGTTGAACCAGTTGTCGATGAAGCATTTATTTGAATTCTTGAATTCTTTATACATCTCTTTTGCAGTTTTTTTTATATAAATGTGTCCTGAATTGATTAATTACTCTCAGCTGAATCTTGACTTTCACCGATATAGGAGAAAGTTTGAAGTGTTAGATCAACCAGTGATCATCCAGTGATCAACCAGTTCTCTAAAATAGCTCAGAGGTGCATAATGAAAAAGTATAACTGTGCATTTTCAATCATTGTCATGAAAACCTTAGTCATAGTTTACATCGGAAAATACTTAGAGTACACTGTTCTATTTACAACATGGGTAAGCATTTTGACCATCTTGTTCATGAACAATGACAAAAGGACTTGTCATTCTGGTGGTCATGTGGTGCTGTTTGTATGAATCGTTCTGAGAAATGCACTTACTGTTTTGCAAATGTTAAGGATGATTCGAGAAATGTACCAAAGCGGCTGAGGAAAAACTGTATAGCTGCTGCTTTATAGAGACATAGGTAAGGGTAGTGAAATGAAGGAGGTCATCGGTTTGTACGAGAGCTGCCATTTGCTCGGAAGGTCGCATTAGATTGAAATGGGAAATTTTACCTGGAATCATTAAGTCTGCAACCACCTTTAGCTAATGCCAGCCTTATTTTGTCAGGCACTATATATGCATTGCACTTGTGAGAAGCTTTTCTTTATACAAATTGTCAAAGAAATGGTATAGTGGCATGTAGTGTTGAAGTAGTGAGTCTGGTCTTGGTCTCGAGACCACTTTTTCCACTTTTTCACTTATTTGGTCTTGTTCTGGAATTGAAGGTATTTCTACTCACTCTTTAATTGGTCTCGGACTACAGCATTTATGGTTCGGATTTGTAATTTTGGAATCAGACGCAAGACTGAGTGTTTTTTCACCCCAGTGATAAACTTTCTGATTTCTCCTACTGCTCTCGAAATAATAAACATTAATAAAATACAATGACTAAAATAAAACTGCAATTGATCTTTTATTCACCTTCATTGTACTAGCTGTGTAGTGATTTATTTTATCTTATTCATTTTTGAAAAGACAGTCACAGAGTATGACGCTACCCTGGAAATAACTCAGAACAGATACGATGCTGTTATTCAATTTGGCCACGTTAATAATATAAGTGATTTTCTCAAATGCAAGCACACTCTGCTATAATTCTTTGATAGGTTTGCCTTTTCATTACCATATCAGCTTTGCATGCAGCAGGGTCTGCTTGTAGAAGAAAAACAGCAGCTGTATCACATGTGACATACCACAAATCATTTCTCTTTCTTTATCTTTCATCTTGACTGGTTTCAAACTTCGCTGAGCTAATAAAACTGAAGAGGGAAAACAGTTCAGACTGTTCTGTTCCGAATAGGCTTGGCACTCACCCTGTTCTATGGGATTGTCCTGTATTGAAAAAAATCCTGCTTCTTTCTGACCCAATATGGGACTTGATTTGTCACATATTATTCAAACGTATGATCACCCTCCCTGTGCCCCCCCCTCCCTCCCTTGCCATGGCAAAAAAACACAGTTGGGACCCCCCCTCCCCCCTTTAAGGACAGGATATGTGATAATTATGACAGATGGTCACTATTGAAATCTAAAACTGTGTTTGAAATTAAAGGATTGTGAATAATAAAACGGTGCTTTTAATTATTAGCTGGGGTGATGATTATAGTAAATAAGTATAATTAAATTAAAACCATGGTCTTGAAAACAGACTTTATATTTTCTGGTCTCAGTCTTGTCTCTGTCTTTAGTTACCCCCGCCCCCCAAATTGTCAGACTTAACTTGATCGCGACCCCCTCAAAGTCTTGGTCTTGACTTGGACTCTGTCCTCTAAGGTCTTGGTCATGCACTCAATATAGATGGGTTTGTCATCATATTTTGCTCATTAGATCTTATAAGATTTATTTAACAGACGCTTTCGTCTAAAGCAGTAGAGTAAGAGTAAGAACGAGAGCAGGGGTCAGACAGTGTCTCTGGAGCATTTGGAGTTAACAGCCTTGCTCAAGGGCCCAACAGTGACATCACTCTGCTGGTCATTGGATTCCAGCTGGCAATCTTCCAAACTCTGAAGCCAAGCCCTAGTGTTTATGGTTTTCTGTATTTTCTGCCCATCTAGTGGATGAATGTGGTATTGCGTTGCACCAGTGCTACATGCCAAATAAAGCGCAGCCTGTGTCTTGCAGACTCTGCCGACCGCTTCTGCTATGAGAAGCTGAACAGCGAAGGCACAGAGAAGGGAAACTGTGGTCGCGATGCCAGCAGCCAGGCCTGGGTGCCATGCAACAAACAGTGAGTCCACAGCCGTGCAGCTACTTGGGACTGTTTTTCTTAATAGACATTCTCCCTGTATGAACATCCTGTCATCATTTCTAATCTATCTCAGATATGTCACCGTTTTTACACGTTTCTTTTTCCTCGTATTTTGCATTTTTCCATTTTTCATTATTGCTTATTTCTCTAGCACTCGCTGACTCATCTCATTCCATTGTGCTGTACTCTTCTCCTGCTCCACCCCTCTGCCCCGATCCTCCTGACTCATGCTGTCAGGGATGTGCTTTGCGGATTGCTGCTCTGCTCCAACATGACCGTGAAGCCGAAAGTGGGGGAGGTGCAGGGCGAGGTCACCAGCCTGACCATCTACCACCAGAACAAGTACATGGCCTGCCGGTGAGCCTTCCCATGGCGCTGGGAGACGGATTTAACTGATATTTGGTTGGAAACCGTTTGTAAAAAGACACATTGTGCACATTGTGTAATTTCACAGCACATCAGACTTATTGCAATAATGTGATTTTGGCTCAAGTGAAGAATCTACATTTCCAACAAACCTCTGCACTCCATATCCATTAGAACTGGTTGTTTCTCATCTTTTGAGTATGCATCAATACCTTCCATTTGGTCATGCACAACACTACTGCCTTCCAAAAGTTTTGGATGCCGTTTAACTATGGACAGGCATTCTTAGCAAGTAGGACTTATTATAATATAAAACATATTTCACAACAGAGTCGCCCAAAGGCGTTTGACAAGGGCGTGTGGCAAACCATTATTACATCATTTATACAGAATGGTGCATGAAACAGGAAAAAGACAGATAGAATGGCCATGGCAACGGAGGAGAGGAACCAAAAACTCCCAAGTAGGGAACATAAAAACGTCTGGGGGTCCAAGGTCAACTAGCTGCCCAACCCCCCCCCCCCCCCCCCCCCCCCCCCCCCCCCCCGGGCATTCAAACATCAGAAAAGAGAGAAAATGGGTCTGCTTTAATAAAAGCAAGGTGTTAACAATTGTCATGGTTAAAATCTATCAAGTAGTCAGTTTTCCGTGCAATTATGTGCAAGTCGACAGGCCTTAGGCCACACCCATGATGTCACAGTCCGTAAGCTACATCTCCGATGTCATGCTTCCTTGTGACAAACCCAGCACTCTGGCTTAGATGGACTTAGTGACATTAATACTTTGTGTAGGAAGGTCTTCTGACCTCCTGTATAATGATGTCCATTTTGAGGTTGCCACAATTCCATTTCTCCTGATGGTTTCTTCAGGTTGAGGTGGGAGCTCTGTACTAATCAACGGTCCATCGTTTGTAATGTTGTAAAAACATCCATCCATATATGCCAGGGGTGGTCATGCCATGCTTGAAGATGGGTCAGATCTGGGCTATGTGGAGGACGGCACACCCTGCGGGCCCAGCATGATGTGCTTGGACCGCCGCTGCCTCCCCTTGGCTGCCTTCAATCTCAGCACCTGTCCCGGTTCTTCCCCATCGTCCTCCCGTATCTGCTCACACCATGGGGTGAGGGATGGGGCGAGATCTCCAATTACTGGCTGCTGCTCTGGGTTAGCATGGTGCTACATAAGAGAACATGGCATGAAAAAATATTTGCTCTAGGTAGCTGTTCTGTTGGCTTGGAAGACTAACATAGCCAGGGATGTGGGTTTGATTTCCTTCCGGTCTCTGTATACATACACACCGATGAACCAAAACATCATGACCACCTCCATGTGAAGCGAATAATGTTAACTATCTCATAAGAATGGTGTGTGTCAAAGTCTGGGGTAAGCCAACATTCAGAACTCGTAGTCGACATGTTGAATGCAGAAAAATTGGCCAGGGGTAAAGATCTGAGTGATTTTAACAAGCACCTAATCATTATGGCCAGACAACTGCATCAGAGCCTCTCCAAAATGGCAAGGCTTGTGGAGTGCTAGTGGTCAGCTGTGGTGTACCTACTGAGAATGGTCCAAGGAGGGAAAGACCATGATCTGCCAACAGATTGCAGGGTAGTAGAGACTCATCTATGCAGGATATGAACAAAGGCTATCCCATCTGGTACAAACTAACAGAAGGGCCATTGCGGCACAAATGGCTGATAATTATAATGGGTGGCGGAGTGATGCGTCATGACACCAGGGCATCAAGCCCTGCTGCATGTGGGATGGTGTAGCCGCAGATCAGACATGTCGGTTCAAAGCACCCCACAAATGTTTGATATTTACCCATCTGTCCACATGATGCAACAGAAAATGAGATTCTTTGCGATTTTTCCATTAATCCAAGGTCTAATTCCAATACTCACATGCCTGTTGTAGGTGCTTTTGAGGCAGGGTCAGTAGGCAGGGTCAGCATGGGCACTCTGACTGATCTCTGGCTACCCAGCCCCATACACAACAGGGCTTGATGCACATGTGTCGTGACGCATCATTCCCAAGACCATCATCAACAATTACCTGCCAATTGTGCCACAGTTGCCACTGTGCAGCTGTTGTAGCCTTTGTTCATCTTGCATTGACACCCCGCACCGCATTGGCTGTTCATGGTTTTTCCCTCCTTGGATCCCTCTCTGTAGGTTCTTCCCCTGGCTGACCATCAGCACCCAACAACCCTTGTCATTTCAGACATGCTTCGATGCAGTCGTCTGGCTATTATGATTTGGCCCTTGTGAAAGTCACTCAGATCTTTTTCCCTGACCATTCCTTCTGTCTTCAACATGTCCGTTACCAATACTGAATATTAGCTTGCTAATATATCCCAGAGATAGTTAACGTGATTCGCTTTACAAGGGGGTGGTCATGATGTTTTGGCTCATGAATGTATATCGAGTTTGCATGTTCTACCCATGACGTGACATGTTTTTTTTTATGGGTTTTCTGGCTTTCCTTCACCTCAACACGCAGCTTTGGTCAATTGGTGTCTCTTCATTGCCTTTTGTGTGTCTGTGTCTGTGTCTATGAGCCCTGTAATGGACTTGTATCCCATCCCAGGTGTGACCTGTATTGTGACCTTTGTTTACGTCACTAGGCTTCAGATTGGCTTCAGATTGGCTTCAGATTGAATCTGGACCCTGCGTCGGAAAAGCAGTTATGCGAAAATAGCTTCATCCGCAAATTAAATTACTGCTATCATGAATGTCACTAGTTATATCAAAAATAGCATTTGGTAGTAGGCTCAATATCCCCTCAACCCTACCTTGATACCTTTCAGTACTTTGGTAGGTGAATTTTTTAACTGGATTTATGCAGAAATTAATTTCTAAATGGACTAACATTGGTGATATCTATGGTCTTAGAATTAATCGTGATCATCTGCACACATGCAGATTCATGCTTGATATACAGTATGTACAGCTTTCACAGAATAAGACAGAAATGGGAGGCGCTGTAATAAACACCGACTCTCTTTCTAACTCTTCGTTATTTCCATGTCAGACTTGCAGTAATGAAGTAAAATGTATCTGCGACCGCGACTACACTGGGAAGGACTGCAGCGTTTATGACCCCATTCCCGACCCCAAACCCCCGGATGGCTTTGAGAAATACAAAGGTTCGTACCGCATTGCATCTCTCCGCGTGCGAGTCTCACAAACAGGAGCCTGTAGTGCGCTCCATCTCCACACATCTGTATTTCACAGTAAAGACTTCGACCTGCTCTCCATTTCGCATCTGCAGAGTTCATATGCTGAATAAATCCCTGTGTCCTTCTGAATATATTTTAGGGATGATGTAATCTCCTTGTGGGGAGGATAGCAGTCTACTGAGAATTTGCAGTATAATTAACCACACCCCAATCTTTATGTTTGTGCTGGGATCTCTTCTCCTGTGAGTGCACACACTTACACGCTCACGCACGCACGCACTAAAGTGCCGCCGCCAAGCTTATATAACACAGAGTAGGCTGAAGCAGAAGTTCTCCATCTAGGGTGACCCAGGGGATCTGGGGCCTCACCGGCTGTAGCTTTAGTCTGTATGTCCTGACCTGTATGTGCAGCTCCTGCCTTAAACGTGTCTTGTTTATTTTCTTACAGTGTGCCAGTGAGAAGGGGGGGGGGGCTTTATGGCAATTTGCTTGTGCGGAACAAAAACCACCACAAGGCAAGCGGGTGTCCTGCAAACAAAGAGTGGGGGAGAAACAGGCAGAAGTAACAGGAAGAGTCACACTGCTTTCTTCATTGACTGTCGTCCCCTTGTCCACCCTCCCTCCCCCATCCCTCTCTCCAGCCGGCCGTGTTTCAGTGCTCCTGCTCCATTCTGACATGTCTGGTGGTTCTGTCCCCCTCCCACCATTCTTCCCCTCCTTCTCCTTTATGCAGGTCCCAGTGGCACCAATATCATAATAGGGTCCATTGCGGGTGCAATTCTCCTGGCAGCTATAGTCCTGGGGGGGACAGGATGGGGATTTAAGTAAGAGCCTTCGCATGCCTGTGTGATTCTGTCTGCTTATAACTGGTACCCAGAAAATACCCATCAAGCACCTTGTGTATGCCAAGAGGACTCCTGGTTATGTCAGGGATGAATATGGGGAACTTCAGGCAGGGGGCAGGACGTAGTGCAGATTAATTTGCTAATTTAATTCACAGGTTTTAACTCCCTACCAATGAACTCACGCTCTTTGCAGCACCTTTAATAATTTTGTAATTTCAGGCGAAGCAAGAAAATTTACTTGCACATTTTGAATTGTTTCATACTCATTCGTAGTCCCACTGTCATGGTGAAGGTTTCCATCTTAGTTGCTCATACAGCTGCTGAACTATACTCATGGGAGTATTGTAGAGGTAGAATTCCTCAGTTAAAATTGGGTCCCTCTAATATGAAATGCTTGAAATACCAGGGTAGGAGTCTGGGCGAGTCCTACCTCTTGTCCTGAACTTTATGTTCAGGCTGCCAGGGACTTGTTTCATCTCAGTAAATGCCCCATCCTGCCCTGCATGCTTGTCATGGATGTTCTTGTTGGGTGTTGTGCTTTGGGGAGGGACTGGGGCTTAGTATGCATGACTGCATGGCCTATAGCTATTGGTGGAGGTTGAGGCAGCAGCAAAGATGGGTTTTGACCGTGTCTTTGTTCCAGAGTTATCCCAGCGATTAACACAATGAATCTGCTATCTCCGCTAATGTCCATCACTAACCAGTCTATACTAAAAATTTCTGCTGAAATTCAGTGCCACCTGTTCAGTGCTTTGGGCCAACCATGCTGGGCAAATGAACTATAGAATAATAAATTTAAGTGAATTTTTCTGCATGTGTTTGTATCTCCATGTATTTCCATCTATATGTTTGGGAGACCTGCTATAGCGCAGCTAAACACAGTACTCAGTCTAAAGTGTAATATGAATAAATACTTAGAAGTGAAAGCTAAGTAAATACATCGGTAGCCTCTTTGGCCAAAAGCACCATCTATCAATGTCTGACACAGGGTACACTGGTATTGAATTCTGGATCAAATTCTGATTCACTCAAAACTGTAATTGCGTAAAGCAATGATCAGTATTTTTTTATGTCTATATATTTTTTTTATTTTAAAAAGGTTCTATTTGTTTCAGATTAAGGGATTTCTACTTGTATAACATTGTCAAAGACAGAATGTTTCTTTGTGAGATAGAATTCCAGAAACACAATGAAGTTTCTGTGTCTTTATACACAACTTCTAACCTGTTCCCTCCTTCTCCCTCACCCATTCTTTCCATTACGGCTCTCATAAAGAAACATCCGGAGAGGAAGGTACGGCCCAGCCCAGCAGGCTAAGCTGTGAACTCCCTACTCATTTTAAGAGCCTTACCTTGTTTGTGCCCAGGCCTTCTCCTAATATTGCGTAATCATACTCGGTAATCATGTGCAATTGCATTTGATACATGCATTGGGATTTTTACCGAAAGCCTGTCCTGACAGTTAAATTAAAAAGTCTCATGATACCAATGTGGCACTCTGGGGTGTCCCATCACAAAATGCCTGGTTACCCCAAGGAATGTGACTTGTGTAACCCAAGACCAAAGTTTTTCTCTTCCTCTGCTTTGTTTTTAAAAATCTGGAATCGAATTCTAATTCTGCTAATGTTTCTTATAGTGTATTTAATTCTAAGAAAAACAGCATTCATTCCCCCGCAGGAAGCAACGGATGTCATTGTTAGAGATCTTAGGTCTGATCACTGCTCACTGAGACGTCTTGGTTTTTATGAGCTTCAGATTAATGTCACAATACAAGCCATGTTAACATAAATTATTTGTGCAATGTAGTACATGAAATTAGACATAACAGATCTTTTTACACTCCTAAAGACAGAAGCAATTGTACAACTTGTAACCACATTATTTAAGACTGATCAGGATTTGTAATAAAACCGATAAATATATTATTGGTTACTAAAGAAACGTGACGTATTTACTTATATAATGTATATTTTGTCCCCCTATGCCAAGTAATTTAAACATTTCAAAAGCCGTTTTAGATCATTATTACACCATAGAAGGTCATAAACGTTGGCCTATTATAACATTTTTCATATGATATTGAGAGTTGCTTTAAATTTTAAGTACAGTGAAACTTATAATGACATTTTACAGCAATTGAAATGTGTCCATGACTGTTTTGCTAATATTGGAAATAATGATGTCAAAGCAATTAAAAAGTCAAAAAGTGAAAATAAATAAATTCCATACATGGAAGAATGATCTAGTGTCTTTTTGAATATGCTGTTGTATTTTGCTTAGAAGGCTTTTTCCATTTCTTGACATCCTTGTAATATTTTTTATTTCAGTCTTGTTTAGTCTCTATGCACGTCTTCAGCTGTCTCTCTTGTTTCTCTTCTAGATCTGGTGGTGGTTAGGCTTACGGTCTCTCAGTTGCTCTTTTTCTGCACTGTGTCCTTTTCACTGAGGAGGAATTAAGAAGAAAAAGTCTTCCACTCATCGCTGTACTCCTGCACCTTGAGTGACCTGTCCAGTTATTCCACCCTTCTGTAATCTCCTCCGTTCCAGCCTATCTCCACACGCATCTTCCTCCTCTCATGATCAACAACCAGGCATTCCAGCGAGAACCAACTGCCAGTCGTTTCTTCAAGCACAATTCAGATCTCCAAAAAAACTTGTTATCCGAAAAGCGGACTTCCAGTGGCAAGAAGGATTTCTTCCAGTGTCCCAAAAGCTTTATCTTTTTTTTTTCTCTCAATTTCTATTCTATTCTATTTCTATTCAATTTTTCATTTTTATTACTGAGAACCAGATGAATGACACACTGCATTTTCAATCATATTTCACAGAACTCCACACACTGGACTAGAAGTTTTGGTTCTCCAGAATACAGACTGATGCATTATAATGATGCCTGTTTAAATTAATTGGAACATTTGAGAATTTTGAGTTTTTTTTTTATTTTCGATCAGGGTAAAGGCTAAGCGAATGAAGCGTGCCACACTTCTGCCTAATCCAGTTGTCCCACATTGTGGGAGCCACTGGTGGGTATGAAGGAGGACGGAGATTGTGGAATCACCTTTTGCCTCTGTCTTTTTTGTACTTTATGTCTTAAATGTTGGCACTTACCGGGTAGAAGCTCCCCGTATTTTCTCAGCACTGCCACCTGTTTCTGGATTGGTGCAGTAGGCCGCATGGAGTACTGTCCCAACTCCCAGCACAGTTTTGTATCTGTTCTCTGTCTACTTCAACTACTCTCTTTGTTTATCATATGGCTACTGTTATCTTGTATCTACTAACATTCCAGCCAATGTAACTGTAATAATATTTTTATATTTTATTTATATTTATATATGTATATTTCAAGATTATGCCACACTTTAGCTGGGTCCTGCAGTGAGCTCTCTCACACACTGTGAAACAGCTGTTTTTTTCCCCCTTAACTCAAGTAAATGTCCGTGTGCATGCATGGGCATCTACGTTAATATGCGTGCACACGGGCACCCCAGCTGGTGGCTGGGAAAGAAAGGCGGTACCATGCATTTTTTTGCATATGAAGATGTGAAGTGTAGACTGTAAACTAGAGTTCTCACATGTGGCGGAATCGCCGTCCTTAAATGGACGCTTCTGAGCGTCTGTTAACGTATGTCATCCCAGGGGGGTGTGCGATTTGCTCGTTTTCTGGAAGCTGTGCTGTTTCATAGGTGCCGGGCAATTATGAACACTGATGTGTAAGTGGATCTAGGTCTCTTGTCCCTACCACCATAACTGGGCTTCGTGTACCTGTTTCAGAACCTTATCAGACCCATTCCCATTGTCAATTTGTGCGTGTGCTTGAGAATGAAGGTTCCATGGTTGTAGAAAACTCTCTGGATTGCAAACTGCAAAGGTAACTGATGTTTGTTACACTGAAAGTAAAACTAAAATTGGAACTTATGGGAACTAAGATCCTGAATATTGAATCGTTACTTATATTATAATTATTTGTTACTTTGGGTGGCCTCTCAGTATCTAACAGTGAGCCTCCAGAGCTGGTATGCTAAATGTGTGATGGATGATCTGTTATTCCCACTATAGGCTCTGAGTCACTCTATCTATATTCTGATAAACAGGTGAAAATAGATTACAGGTTGGGATTGCAGTCTTTATTTCTGATTTTTGCAGTGACTGCAAAACAAAAATACACTACTGGCCAAAACTGTGGAAACGGTATTTTTGGCATTACGCTTTAAGAACTACTACACGAATATTGCCACTAATGTTTATAAATAATCAAAGAATGTTTACAAGTAACATGCACTGGGTGATTAAATGAGTAACTGGAATACAGTTCTGCAGTCTCTAAAAATTGGAAGTGTTTCCACAATTTTGGCTACTAGTGTAAATAAATGAACAGAATTTTCTGAATCTGTAAAATAATCCAAAACAAATCTATGATTAAGGAAAGAAAGCCTCATACATAGACCTATTTAGTACATTTCATCGTAGCCACTCCAAACATGTCATGCCTGGAACAAGCATCCCTGTGCTTCTCTGATCTGCCTGCTCAGTCGGCATGCCTTCTGTCTCCCTGATCTAGTCTTTCACTGGCAAACACACAGCATGCTGAATGCAGGGCACCACCCAATAACTTCAGGCGCTATGCTCACTTCACACTTTTGAATAATGCCGTCTAGTTCCATTTGTGATTTGTTACTTGCTGAAAATCATCTGATAGGGTGGCACAATGTCAGTTGTTTTTTTTCTGCTGTAAAATGTTCGCGGAAAAAGGCCACTGCTAGTAGAACAATTCCGTTCCTTGTAATGTTTCCTAATACTACCACCGTGTTGCTGTATGTCTCAGGCGATTTCCCACTGTTACACTGGCCAGAGGATCCAAGTCAATGTCCTGCTCAAGTCCTAAAGCCAGCTTTGTAGGAAGTGTTTTGTGGCTAGATGATCAGTTCGGTTGACTTTTACAGGACAAAATGAGGTCAAAGGGCACATTAGTTTTTAAGAGCAAGACCTGGTGATCGGATAGCAGCCGCTAGAAACTCAGGAACAAACTGTGTCTCTGCTACGTTACATGAAGACTCCAGAAGCGGATGGAGTGTTGTGTACAGTAGTTTGACTTTGCACATTATGGGGAAAAAAACTCTTCGGGAAAAAAAGGCCATTATGAGCAGCTTGCACATTACCTAGACCTATAATCTATTAGTAACAGTTTTGCCTAAGATGAAATTCAATCCAAAATTAAACCAAGATCATTCCCAAGCCCCTGAAAATGTATCATAGCTATCAATGCCTTGTTTAATCAATCTATACACCTAAAAGAGCAAAATACCCATGCTTTTGTAAATGTGTATAATACTGTGTGTATTGACTGTATATGTTGACTATGATATGACTGTAAACATAGAAGACTCATGAATACACAATACGAATATACGTTATAAGGTAATATTTACAGAGATGGATATGATCTGTCTCTCCACCTTGTACCTAAGAAAGTATATTCCAGCTCATATTCATATTCACGATTGTTAAACTGTGTATATTTGTTGAGCGTTTGGCTAGGTGTCTCACTGTAAAAATATTCTGAGTTTATTTAATCATATCTCTCAGTGAAATGTTCATCCCCCCCATGCATTTCTGTTTGTGTTATGATTTGAATGCCATCATAGATAAGGCTATATAAAGCATATTAAAAACATAGAAGGCCTTTCTCAAGTATCCAATCTAATTTTTAAGGTTTCTTTACGATTTAATGAGCAGGTGCCACCAACTAAATGAAACTCTGTGAATAAACATCTAGAATTGAAAAAAGAAATTATTTCTGTGTGCATTATTTTGCTTGCTTGTTTTTGTGTGTGATAAAAACCTGTTATTTTGATGCTGTGGGAACCACTTGAATACAATGAACAAATGAACGACAATATTCCCATTTCCAGAAGTTTGACTTTTACTTTACTTACTGTTTTATGAGACCGTAACATGATTTCGTCTTTAGATATAATATTCAAGGAATTCTTTGTGATTGTACTAAACAAATGTTGTTAAACACACAAAAAACCTTTCAAAATTATTTTGCATATTTCTGACATTTTTTGTATTTAATTGTTTGATGTTGCCACACAGTCCTTTCAATGGACCGCTACCTTGCAATGTCATGAAGGCTCATGTGTCCTAAGAGATGCCACCTGTGATATTTGTTCATTGCCAGTGTTTCTTATAGCAATAAGATTTAATGGAGGTTCTAGGTAAAGCATGATCAATGATGTATATGTAAGTGGTGGAAGCTGATGCTGGTCATTATGAATTTGAGAAATGGAACAATACATTCTACAAGGAATTTCATTCTGGCTTTCTGGAATTCCTGTATTTTCATGATTTCCAGGGTTGACTGTGCAAGACCCTACCTGATATAAATATTAATTTCATTGTTTCAGCTGGATAAAATAGTTCAAGAATTATTCATTTTTATCATTGTGAACAATCCCTTTCAAAATAAACATGCCCCATTGCTTCACTATATTTGAAATGAAAATTAGGCATATCTTCAGTTAACCATTCTGTAAGTAGATTTATGACTTTTGACTGATTTATTTGTTTTAAGAAATGTTAACTCTTATTAATTTATTAGTCATTTTCAATAAAGATGCCCAAATGAGAGACGACTTGTGCATTTGGGTAATACTCCAGACAAATAAAATGATAAATTTCAGACCCTCAGCTGGGTTTAATGATGATGATTCAATAGTTGTTCATTTTTTAAATTTATCACAATCATTTGGAATACAAAAGGGTCCTTTTGCACTAATATATTTCAAATAAAAAATTAGGCAGGACTTCGATTTAGGAATAGAAAGGAAGTGATAATGAAACAGCAATGTTAAATGTTCATTGCCAGTGGGTGGTCTGTGTTAAAAAAATACAGAAAATGTTCCTTTTTCAGAATAATGATATTAAATTGAAGTTGTATTTCTGCATTGAGATCTGTACGCAGAGACGAGAACTGGGGATTTGGATTTGTACAGAAATGTTAGTGGCATTCGCATTATACTCAAAGATTTCTCCAGAGACAGAATTTTCAATAACTGCATTTTGTTTGAGATGATTAAAGAGCAAGTGTGGGTTTTTTATAGTATGCATAATTTACTTTCAAATTATTATGATAGCTGCATATTTACATGTAACTGTTGCTAAAATGCATCAAACAATTTCTGAAATTTTCTAATTTTGTTTAAAGAAAACCCTCATTGTTTTGAATTACAGCAAATTTTATATGTGTACATCTGGAAAGATAAGCACCAGTGAATGATGGTTATCATGAAGCACGTAAAACCCTTTCACCACTGTCACCTAAGCCATATAACATATGTGTGGATAACAACTCTCTGCTAGAACGTGACTGTGGCGGAACTGGTAAAATCAATTTGTGTACCAGCAGAGTAAATATAATCCATCTCAAAGGGGAATTCAAGTTTTAATGGGCTTAACATTTCAAACACTATTGTCACTGCGTAATATCTACAAGTTCATGCATAATTTCTCTCGACCTTCTAATTTATATCCAGCTGGTTAACTAATACAGAGTTAGAGTGCACCCTAACCCTACCCCTAACTAATACAGAGTTAGAGTGCACCCTAACCCTAACCCTAACTAATACAGAGTTAGAGTGCACCCTAACCCTACCCCCGGGACTGCAGGGCAGGGGAACACCAGACTGTACTGTATGTCTATAGTAGGGTCACATGTATGTAACCTTTTTGAGATACCAGTTCACTTGTAGGAGGAAACACAAGAACTTACTATTTTCTCACACATACAGCAGGGAAGGAGTTTTAACTGTACAAGACTAAAAAATGACTGAACAGTGTTGTTTCATACAAAATTTGATCAATACTGATTAACATCTCCCTCAAGTCAACAATTTTACTGAATTTCCACTGTATAAAGGCAGCAGCCAGTATCTAAAACTATTTAAATGTGTCTCTAACTTTTTTACCCCAACCCTCTTGTTTAAGCATGATGGTGCTTGTGTGGTATTTGTCTAGAGGCTATTTTTTAATTGGACACAGCAAGTAATATTCCTAGTCACCACCACCACAGTAGAACTCATAAATACAATTTGATGCCAAACATTACAAATAAGTAACACAAGCACGCTATGTACATTAACATTAGTGTTGTTGGTTCATATATTAGAGCTTTTTTCGATTGCTTTGGCACATTTCCTGAAACATTGTTAACATTCTCACAACTATAAGAGCATTTCTCAACTAAATTCATGTATATAGCAAGACAGTAATGTTAAGCTGCAAAAGGCCGTAAATCACCCAAAACAATTAACTCATGTCTAAAAGCAAATAATTCCTGAATTAGTCAGTGCCACCAAAACTAGAAGTATAATCAGCATCATTTTAACCATAAGGGTCAAAATGTTTAAATATATTGTCATCATGTGAGTGTAAGTCTGCTCCTGAGCTCCATGGATCTGAATGGTAGACATCTCCCACTTTCTCATTGTCACTGGTCATTCTTCCACACCAATTTCAACATTGCAACTTCTACATTATACAATACATAAAGTTGACTGGGGAGAGAAAGCACTCGCAGACATTTTTCAGTCACTTTTAAAATCATTTTGAAAGCTTGGTTAACTGTTTTGCATGATGATCACTTACATATACAGTTTTGGGTGTAAAATTATTACAATGGGAAAAACATAATCCAGTTTTCACCAACAAGACTAAAACAACTGATTGATTGCACAAGAACATCTGGAAATTTGTGTGAAACAATGTCGTTCTGTTGTGCAGAAGTGAAATTATGGTGTGGGGATTACATTAGCTGTTCTGTGAATGTTAATTGTCATATGAAATATGTACCAAAGCAATACAAAAATCAATTTTTTGTACAGTGCTTCCACTGTAGTCATGAACTATTTTCTTATTTCAAATTATGTATTAAATTAATTTGTACCTTGTGCTGGCTGTTAAAATGCATCACATCTTACCCATTATAAATTATCTTGCTTTCACTCAGTTTTGATTCCTGAATAACCTGTAAATCAGAAAACATATTTTAGAATGTGGTCATACTTTTCGACTCCATCAATTTATACAGTCGATCCTTCTGCATTGCGGCTATCCCCATTCCAATTCCCCATTCAGTATATTGCGGAGTCGGCATAAGAAAATATCTGGAATTTTTCGGGAGTTTTGCGTAAGCCACAGACGACACACAAAAAGTTTAGTAATTAATGAATAAAATATATGTACAGTGCTGGAATGGAGAAGGCCAAGCTTGTTTGCATTATTATCTTGCAGTGATCTCGCAGTGATCTCGTGGTGATCTCTCAGTGATCTTTGTATCTCACGTTTCTTGTATCTTTTTGCTTTACTCACGGGGGATCAAACAACTTTCCGTGGTTTTTCCAGATCGCGGGGGCATTGTGGAAGGGTCGATTGTACATGCATTGATCTTCCAGTCCCATTATAAGGATATCATAGGCCAGATCGACTCTAGGGGTGCCACCCATCACTTACAGTATAATATGGGATTGTCCTGTAAAATAAACGGCTGTGTCCTATATTATAAGGGTTAGGGTGGCACCCCTAATCCTTTCTCAGACAGCATAATGCATGAGGCAGGAGACACCCTGGATAGGATGCCAGTTCACACCCTCAGACGTAACCATTCGTTACTAGACCTTTTGAGGAAATTATAGTTCCCCAAAAAAAATATGCAGGCTTGGGGGAACTCCAACCTTGGAGGTGTGAGACCGCAGTGCAACTTCATTGGTTTCCTGATACTTAACAAAGTGGTTTCTGTGGGAAATTCTAAAACCTGCTAATGCTGCCATGATGCAGCAGCCAAAAAAAACAGCCCCCGATGCTTTAGGATCTCATGGAACGTTTAGATGGCAGATATAACGAAGGAGCACTCAATTTATTCTTAATTAAGGGTCTAAATTATGAACAGCCGAAATAACGATCTGGTTATGAGTATTAGCATGTGTTACAGCATGTCTGTGTAAATAACTTTGTGTAAACACAATAGCGCATGAGTGCCGTGCAAATTCCCTACAAATAGCTACATTGAGCCGACACCTCGTTGTGCTGAGAAACAAATATCTTGCATTGAGTTTGACATGCAGTATGTTAGTTATGTTTCTAATAGAATCAAACTGTGATCTGTGAGCTCTTGTGTTGGTGGTGAGTCAGCATATTATTTGCTGTAACCTGTTGAGCCTCCAGACAAACGCCCCGCAAGTACCATCCTGCTACTGTTTGAACAGGTAGATGAGGCTATTCAGTTTGTTCTCTTAGTTTTACTCAATTGCCTAAGCACATTTATTGAAATACCATTAAAATTTTAAGTGCAATCAGCGTATCAATTCATACTGTGCAGCGAAACACTGGATTGTGCCTGCAAAAGGGCATAATTTAATGAAAATATTTAACTCATGTTTCAAAATCACAGATATCCCTCAGTGAACACAGTTAATGTCAGCTACATGAGATATCCCGTTACAGTTTGCACTTACAGTCATAAGAGTGTTTCATAAAATGTTTTATAAAATTGACCAAATCAACTGATACAAACTTGAAGCATAATCCATGGATGACAGTTATTTTTCTTTAAACACCTTGTTTAAATGTCTCCATTGCGATTCTTGCAGCATTTTAAGCATTTATGATTGTATTCACACAGCAATTTATGCAATTTATATTCTTGAATCATTCGAAAAATTTGGTGGAGTGTTTTGCATGTGGTGGCTTACAGTGATTGCTTACATATTTAGTTTATATATAATTATTTCA